AACCAGCAAGTCCAGGCGGACCTCAGAGGGGCGAACACGTGGGCGCCTCCCATAGCAGGTGGGTGGCAAACGCTATCGCAAATGTGCTGGCTTGTGTGTGAACCCAGGGGAAAGGGAGGGAGTGGTGTGAAACACTAAGTGAAACTTGATCTTGGCGTGGACTCGGGTTGTGTCAGTGGGTCAGCCTGGGGTACACAGGGCATGCAACCTATAGGACTCGGTGGATTGGATGCAGAAGATGGAAGACCCAGTCCTAGGTTTGGGGCGTGAGTTCCAAGTAGATGGTGTTGGGAAGAATGGGGGGGGGGGGAACAGATTCAATGTCAGGGAAAGCCAGCCATTTCTAGATATCTTCCCGTTGAGACAGCTACTGGAACCCTCACAGGAGGCACTGGCTGTGCAGGGAGAGACAGGGCACTGGGGCCATGGTGGGGACTGGGGCAGAGATTTAATTGTGGAAATCAGACGCGTGGACCAGCTCCCCGAAGGGAAAGGTCCATAGGCAGCAGCGGAGAATCTACTGTGTGGACAATGGCAACTTCATTGTCGCTTTCCAATGCTTGTTTCTTTTCTCTACTTGTGTAGCCTTACTGCACTTCTTCGGGTTTCCAGGGAGATGCTGAGTTAAAGGGGCTTCAGCAGGCACCCTTGTCCGTACCCAACCGTAGAGAGAGCCTTTCCTTACATGATCGGCGCTCTTTTTCTGCAGTTATTTCGTAGATAACCCGCCTGAGCTGAAGGAGTTCTTTAGTCATACTTTTCTAACACTTTTTCTTTCTTGTTATTTTCCTTTAATTGTGAGTGCGTATTGAATTCTCTCTCAAATTCTTTTTTTTATATCCATTGAAATGTTAATAATGTTTGTTTTTCCTTTAACATGATGATCTATTTCTGGAATAGTTTAAAGCTGGTTATTTATTTTTAAATACATTACTTTGTTCATTTTGTGAATATATTTATATCAGTTTTTCAACAATGGGCATCAATTAAATAAATTTATTTATTATCACTTCTCATGTTACCCTCGACGAGTTGTATATTGAGTTTGTGTTAGCCCCCTAAAATGAGTTAGGGAGATATCTTTCTCTTTCTATTCTCTGTAAAATATGGGCATGCTGAGAATTGCGTGCTTTTTGAATGTCTGTAATGAGTTGTTTGTAAAATATCACAGGCATTCCTCAATTACTTTTGCTGCAGAGAAAGATCATGTAAATTTGTTAGGAGAGTGAAAAGTGGGCATTTGAGAGCAATGATGACCATCAGTTCAGTAGGTACCAGTTACTAATGGCTGATAAACTTATGAGAATCTGCAACCCTATGGGGTAGTTTCTCCTACTATCTTCATTTTGTAGTTTGGAGAACTCAGGCTTAGAGAGATTAGAAAGTCTGAGATATGCAGTTAATATACAGCAGATCAAAGATTTTGACTGATGGCCTTTTTCTAGAACTTGTAATAGTAATCTGTGTACTTGGACAAATTTATTGTAAGAAGGACGAGTTGCTGGAAGCATGCTTTGTTTTTCTTTGAGTCAATTTGAGTTTGCTTTTTGTTACTGGAATCTCATTATGATGTGTTGTGCACATGGGTTCATGTGCAGAAATCTCTTCTTATATGATTATTTTACTAAAGGTTTTATTCTTTCTGTCTGTCTTTAGGCTTCCTAGCTCTCGTTCCCATCTCGGTGGAAGGAAGGGGAATGTATCTTCTCTATTGCCGAAGGCATGTCCATGTGACCTTTTCCCTGTGATCCAGGTATAGATGGTCATTTCAATTATAATTAATAGTATAATAATTTATATGGCCATTCATTCAAATGACAGTGTGATGATTCAATACTTTAATAAATGTCTACATTTTGCTCAGGAGAACAGGACCCTTAAATGATATGAATGGTAGATTTGCACAAAGTATAGTTGCTAGGTTGCTACATTATTTTTGCTTTCTAATAAGTCAAATTTTGAAGTTTCTCTTTTCTACCTATTAAAAACATTCATCTATGTTTTAAAAATATATCAGTGTTACGGTAAAAGTTCCACAATTTAGAGTGAACTAAAAATGCCATTTAAATAACTGGAAATAACATATTTTATATCTTGTGGTAACTTAGAGTCATGCTGTTTAATACCTGTGGGGATACAAGGACAAAAAGCATAATTACAAACAATAGCAGTTATCTACTGCTGTGTAACAAATTACTCCAAAATGTAGTGACTTCAACGCCCTCACTTTACTGCCCCAGATACTGTGGTCAGCATGGTCTTTGGGTTGCCTGGCAGGTTAGTTGGGAGCTAGAGCAGTAGGGTGCCTGGGAAGAGTGCCCCCCACTTTTCCTGGGATGTTTTACCCTTGAAAGGCTAAATCAGGATTTTTTACACGCAGTCAGTGGGCAGAGAGCCAAGGAAGAGAAAGTAGAGCTGCCCCGTCCACCGAGGATTAGCTTCTGAAGTCCCACATCACTACCATCTCATTCTATTGGTCAAAGCCGGTCACAAGACAGCCCATATTCAGGTCTGGGAAAATGGAGCTCCACCTCCCTGGGGGGCAAGTCACGTGGCAGTGGGGCAGGCACAGGGAGCATGGTCCACCGGTGCCCCTTATTTCACCAGTGCACCCCACAAACTAAGTGACAGCTCGAAACCCTGCCTTTTGAATGGTAAACTTCATAATCTTTTTAATCCCATGCTGAGGTATAAATATACGATACTGTTTTTGGATTTTCATACACCACCCTGGACTGTTTTTATGGCACTTTAATGACATTAGGTGCTTTCATTTCTTCATACAATAAAGAGTTCCTCCAAGATGTAATCTCAACCACAAAGTAGTTTGGGAGAAAAGAAACTTCAGCAGGTACTGTAAGTGAGAAACAGTAAGATAAACTCTTGGGATAGAATTTTTAACTATTCCCTTCATTTCAATGAGCTTGTCAACATAATGGCAAAAGAAGAATGTGAAAGAGAATCACCTCAAAGAGTCTTCGGAATTTTCTGTTTGTAAAGGAAACCGTTTCAGTGATTTTAACCTATCTGTTGTGAGCCCATCAAGGGGTTGCCAAGGAAGGGAAGGAAAACCCAAGTCTGCTCTGAGTTTTAGTCGTTAACACATTTGAAATTAAAGTTGTCTCCCCGAACCAGGTGTCGTCTCAAGATCCACATTCAGTATGTATTTACGCAACACCTAACTTGTTGCAGACCTTTTGTAATTCATCCTTATTGCTAATCCCAGCCAATGGAACAGAGACATCTTGTGTATTGCAGCCATTTACCAGGAGGGGGAAGAGGGCTGAGAATGCAGGTGTGTCTGGCTAAACCCTGAGTGGGGCTTTCAGATTTAAATTCATATTTTTAGGGCCTGGCCTAATGCTAGGTCATCACTGCCTTCCTAAAAATCTTATCATAAGGGGGCATTATCAGCATGATGAAAATTTGCAAAAGCATCCCTTTAGCCAAATAATAATAATAATAAGGCAGCTTAGTTATAAAGTTCTTTTAGTTAAAAAAAAAGTCATTGCCTGAAGGCTAATTACTTGTATAACAGGTAATAGATGGAATACTTTAATTTTACAAAATCTTCTACGAAGAAGGTACTGTTATTTTTAATTTTCAGTTTAGGAAACAGGTTTAAGGAAATGCTGGCATCAGCTCTAACCATTTAAATCAGAATCCCCTAAATTAGTACTTTAAAAACAATTTACCAAAGAGATACTAAAATGCAGCCAGAGTTGAGAGCCTTGGTTTAAATTGTATGCTGTACAGTTTTAGGAAAATGGCACCATTAGTCTCAAAGCTAAAGGATAAAAGAGCAAATTAAATAGCAATAATTTCATGGTTTCCTTATTAGCATTTAAAAGCGTTTATAATTTTTCATGTAACTATTATATAAGGCAAATCATTTTAAGATATGAAGATATGTGAACACCTCTTTTGAAGAAAATATGTTAACAATGCATAGTTAAACTGATTTCCATTTAATGACTTTTGAAGCTTTAGACCATTCAGGTGAACTGTAATATAGAAAACACAAGATACAGACTCATAGATACGGAGAGCAGACTGACAGCTGTTAGAGGGGAGGGGGTTGGGAGCTGGGTGAGAAAGGTGAAGGAATTAACCCTCCAAAAAACCCAAACTCGTAGATGACACGTGTATGGTGATGACCGGGGGGAAGAGGGGGGCGGGGCAGATAGACGAGGGTATGGGGGGCATAAATGGTGATGGAGGGAGACGTGACAGGGTGGAGGACGCATACAGTGTATAAATGATGTGATGTAGAATTTTACACCTGACCTATATAGTTTTATTAACCAATGCCATCCCCATAAATTCAATAAAAATTTCAAAAAATAATATAATAATTAATAAATAATAATACAAGAATTTTAACAGTGCATATTACTGCCTTGATCAAAATTAGTTCCTACAGAAGCATTCAAGAAAAAAATAAGGTACCATTTTATTGTTTCAGTTTCTAAACGTTTAAAGTATAATCTCATGTGAATAATTATTTTAAAAACCATGTCTCTATAAAAGATTCATATGTCTTTTTCTAGAATCATTTTCAAAATCTACCCTCCAAATCAAATTCACTTAAATATACTTGAATATACTCTAATATATTACTGAACTGTATTATAAGTTTATATGTGTGTTAAATAATCTATAGCAAGGTCTTATCTATGGGGAAATGTAAGTATAAATGAATGGATATAACACTCGAATCCTGTGTCTATATTATGCACAAGTTATCACTGCTAATCGATTTAGGCTTACTAAGTATCCAGTAACTTCGATTGCTAAAATCACCAAATCACATGACAAAGTAAGATTCGCCCCAAATCACTATCTCGTCACATTTTAATGTGAATAAATTCTCTTACAACAAGCAGATGATGGTAGAAACACGAATATAATAAGCTGCCACTCCCTTCACAGACACAATTCTCACAGTCACAGCGGGAGTTTGAGAACATTCAAAGGATCTTATTTTAGACTAAACTTACCAGCAAATTTGATATGAAATTTATTTTCAGGCTTCAATATCTGGACGTACAAAGGACAGTTGGGAGCAAAATCTTTGACGGCCCACGCCCTCAAAATTGTTTGGTGGTCCTGAAACGGTAAAACCAAAACGTCACGGAATGCGTATTGCACAGCCGGGCGCTGCACGGCTAAACTGGGGTGTCCCCCATCCACAGTGCCGTCTCGGCAAGAAGATATAAACAAAGCAAGACGACCTATATTTTTGTAAAAAAAAATAATGAGCTTATTAGCCTTTGGTGAATCAAAGAGCAGAGTTTCATGACTTTAATTCCCTTTTGGATCTACTGTCCTGGTAGAGTGTCAGCCAGGCCCTGGGGCAGGAGGGGCGAGCGGGCGGCAGGGATCCTCGAAGCCGCTTCTCTGGGGAAAGGATGCGGCAGCAGCCAGGATGCCGGGCCCTTCCTAAGACACGACACCCGACCCGGCGGAGACCCGTCACCGTCACCGTCACCGAGCAGCATGGGGGCCTCTGTGCTAATGTCCGCAGCTACTTAGCATAGTGCAACATTTTCCTGGGTTCTATGTTTTTTTCTTCTCTCCTTTCTAAAATTATTTGTTATCGATTATGCTGTGGCATTGTCCCAATTTTTCCCCCGTTGCCCTCCTCCACCCAGCAGCACCCGCCTCTCCCTCAGGCCATCCCTACCCCATCCTCCTGTCCCTGGGTCACGCACGCCTGTAAGTCCTAATGGGAGCACCGCGCCTCCCCAGCCCCTGCCCAGCAGCGGGAGTCCGCCTCCGTTTGGTAACAAAGTCCCTAAAGTCCGTGTCTCCAAGGGCTGCAGACACTTCTATGGGACCTCACTCACGAGAACGCGGCACAGTTGACTCTCCGCCTTTGCCCAAGGAGCAGACAGACTGTGCTCTTGGTGACTCGGGTGACACCGGTTTTTCTTCTTCACCCTTTCTGTCCGTCCAGACCTGTGACTTCACTCAGTTCCCAGGACCCGGGTCCTTCTCCTTCCCCTCGCCCCTCCGCTCAGGGCGACCCAAACTCTGATGGTTGCCAGGATGATACGGTTTTGCTCGTGTTTCCTCTGAGTTCCTCTTTGCTGTCGGCTTCATTTTGTATTTTATTCTGTTAGAAGTTTTCTTAAATGTCTAGAGAGCCCTGTTGCCTGAACACAGGGAGGAGGGAGGCACTCAAAAGGTGTTTGGGACCGGAGTGGGACCTTACCTACACTTGCACGTCACTTCAGGAACGCCAGACCTGATGTCAACATGGACCCGTGTTACCCCTCATGACCATGTGGCGTTCTCTCTCTCGATGGACCCTTTCCCCAGAGAAGACCCCCCTCCTGTGCCGGCAGGGGTGTGGGTCTGGCTGTGGGTCTGGCTGTTAGGGTTCTGGGTTCCGTGGGAGAAGCCACTCACACTCAGTGAGACAAGGTGCTCTTTAATCCCTGTGGTTCGGAGGGAGGGGTGTTCCTGGGTTACATTCTCCATAGCAAGCCTCCTCCCCCAGGGCAGGGGCAGGGACCCGCAATGAACTTGTGGTTCAAAGATGCTGACCGTTTCTCTTACAGACTCATAATCCCCATTCACGTGTTTAGCCCTACATGCAGCCCTACCAGAAGGCCTCTGGGGCCTCTATTTCCTGAGGCTTTTGAGCTTCCATGGCAAGAAGCTGCCTTTTGGATTTTTTTCCTTTCTCAACTTGAATTTTAATTTCCTTCTGTCTGTGAAGTCAGTTACCACTCATCTCTCTGCTTTCCAGCTTCCGATCTTACGTTAGCGTTTTCTCGTCTACCGCCTCCTCCGTCCTCCTGGGCGGAATCTTTTCACTCCCTCCCTGTCCGTCTAGCAGCGTGTCAGGTGTGATGGCATGCACGGGCTACCTGAGAGTCCCCAGGTCCTCATTGTCAAGGGTACTCTAGAAGATGTTAGGCCATGGCTGGTGTAGCTCAGGGGATTAAGCACAGGACTGTGAACCAAAGCCAGTTCGATTCCTAGTCCGGGCACATGCCTGGGTTGCAGGCCTGGTCCCCAGTAGGGGGTGTGTGAACAGGCAACCACATATTGATGTTTCTCTCCCTCTCTTTCTTCTCCCCTTCCCCTCTCTCTAAAACAGATAAATAAAATCTTTTAACAAAAGATGTGAAGCATGTATTTCCTAGTGCTTCCTTTGTAACTTGAAAACGTTATAGATAATGGAAGACTGCAAGTGTCCTAACACGGAGTCGCTGCTCGAGGAACGCAAGGTTGACGGTGACACAGGTTAAAAAATTGTGGAAACGTGACTGGGAAGCTCAGGCCAGGGGTTGAAGACCACAGAATACCTCCCCACGCTAAGGACTAACGGTCCTAAATTAATGTCAAAGGGGAGCCTCTTGCATGTCCTGAAAGACCCGGGCATGCTTTGCCGTGTCCCAGTCACTGTGCAAATCGCCAACGGCGCATCTGTCTGCAGACCCCAGACACGGCCCCAGACGCACTGCCATAGAAGCGCAAGTTAGCAGTGCCTAGTCACCAGAATGACAAAGCACTTCTTACACTTAATAAAATTGGAAGGATAAAGTTAAGAACTTATAATTTGATAAACTACCATTTAATTTAATTAAACACTTACAGAAATTTAGGCTTAAATATACATCATAAAGGCCACGTGAGCCGAAGATTACCAAGTGGAGATGTGGTTGAAAACCGCCTGGGGTGTTTTTAAAGGACACGCATTTCGGTCCCCAGCCCATGTATTCTGAACAGAGTTTTCACGAATGCCTGATTCTAGTGATTTCTCAGCTGATTCTAATGCAGGCTCCCCGAGCCAGCCGCCTTGGCTGTAACTTGAGAAAACCGAGATCGTGTAACAAAACCGCATGGCACAGGGTATATGAAGTACAAAACGGTCTCGTTCGCACACACACACGACTGGTTCTACTCTGATCAACAGAAAACCCACGGATGAGCACAAACTACTTCAAAACACCTTTGTCGATACTGTCCGTGAGCCCACTGAGCTTACAACATGGCAAAGATCGTTTCAAGGCATTTGCTCCTTTTGAGGGAAATTTCACTGTCCCCAGGATTTAGCGCTGAAAGACTAAACACAATCGGAATTGTTAAGAGCTCCGCGGAGGTGAAACAACCCCTGGCAGAGAGACCCGGGAGACTCACGGAGGACGTCCGGTCCACCTCGCAGCGGCTGCTCAGGATGAAACAGGCCTCGGCGTCATCCATCCTGAAGCGGACAGAAAGACAACATGATCGCATGCTGAAACGCCCCCTCTGCCATCCGAAAAACCGGGTTTCAGGGTTCAGTCCCAGGACGCCCACGAAACTTAAAAACTCTGAGTCTTCTGACACTGAAGCGAAAGTTGGAGTTCAAGATCACGGCTGTCTTTGACTACTAATAAGATCACTGTTAACCTGGCTTTATAGCTCAGTAGTGTGTAATGACAGTAAGAAAGTCATGTGATGATTTTTGTTATATATTTTCATATACTGCGGGACCTTGAATAATTCTGGTTCACTCAAAGTCATTCTGTGACCATATTGATAAGATGTCACAGGAACTTAACCCTTGTTCTCATCAATCCGCCTACAGTAAAAAGTGGTTTCCTTGTACATCCTTACAACTCCAGGGTAAATACAAAGCCTTTTAAGCCTTTAGAAGCAACAGCAGACACCGAGCAAAGCCACCTCTGCTAGGAATCTCCTCTGGCTCTGAAACCACGGAGGTTGTTTTGCAGACACCCTGTCTCCCTGGTGTCTCTGGCTCATCGCCGACAGCCAGAGCAATCCACGCACGCCACAGTCACTGTGGCATGTGGGTACGATCTTTGACCCCCTTCCCACCGAGAAACCGGAGCAAACACACTGATTTCATATTTTTGACCTTTCCTGTTGACCAGCACTGGGACTCAGGCAAAACTCTGCATTCCAAAGTACTCCCGCGCGCCCGCCCCCGCGACACCGAACAAGGTGGAAATTGGGAGGAGGGAAATGATACGGAGCACCGTCACAGGGACGATGGTTGGGGTGGGGGCACCTACTTGGCTCTCAGCAGGTCCTGATCTTTCAGCGCTGAGCCCTGCAGGTAGATGACCCTCTGGGACCACATGGGGATCTGCAGCACCCTTCGCGCCTGCACGTCCATCTCCGTGGGACACAGGATCACCACGTAGTAGTCCTGCGCGAGCACAGAGGGCGGCGGAAGAAAATCAGTCCGGCTCAGGTGTATACCCTGAATAGGCACGCGGAATGTCACACCGTGTCCTGAAAGGTGACGAGCTAGAAGTGAAGTCTGCCTAATAAGTAAACGTTTGCATCTATAACCCAAACCTACATAAATAAGACAAGACTCTAATAAGTGTAACTGAGATGTGTACATCTCCTAAATCAGTACTTCCTTCCGTCCTGACCTTTTTCAGTCTTACTAGTACTATGAAGAGGAGGCGATTCGTGCTTACAGTCAGCACACACTGCCACACTCCGGTTTGATCCTCTTCGGGCTAATTCTAAAATACACATAACATGTCGGGCTAGAAAGCTTAGGTGTAAACTCATACTTCAAACTTTTACTTTTAGAATAAAAACTGTGATGGCGATTTACTTCACTTGGTAATATGATGCACTGATAAAATGAACGTTTTCTGATAGCTGAATGGATAAGGGTTTATCAAAATATTGATAATGCTGACAAAGTAATTAAAGAGTTTGAGGTCAAATATTTCAAAATAATGGTCCTTTGGAGAAAACGTAATGGCACTATTCTCAAGGAGATGGTTCACAACCCGAGATCCACAGGGATTACAATTCTCTGGTGAGCAGTCGTCACGTATCACTCTAAAATATATCTAGTGAACTTCTTTAGAGTTTCAAGAATTCTCCATATTGATTTTAGAATAATTTCAATAAGTTACCAGGGATCCGAATTTTCCTCCAAGGTTATAAAGAAAGTTATTTAACATTACAATAAAATCTGAAGTTACTTAATATGAAAATAAAAAACCCAACAACTACATATGGAGCTTCTCCAAAAAATCCAGGTTAATTTATATGAAAACAAAAGGCTGTATTATATAATTTAGGTACCACTTATAAATAAGATTTTTACATATAAAAATTGTACTTAAAAGCTCTCCAAAGCATTGATGAAAAAAGTCTATTTCAAGGAGTGATAATTAGATATACTCAGTACTATGTTGATCTCGGGATTGTCCAGTTTTATGATGTAAATTTATTGAAGAAAAACAAGATATTCAAGTAGCTCTTTCCTGTTTGGGCTGAACTTGGTGCTTTAAGCAGCAACCATCACCTACTTCACACTGGCCCATCCCTGTGGCAAGTACAAGAAGTATTGTGAGCATTTGATCTGCATCGACAAACGAAGAGATTGTTCTGAACCCGTGTTTTTAATTCAACTATTATTATCCCATTTTTGGTTATTTATTGCTACTATCAAGTTGACCTAGTTATACCCCAGGAAACAAAAGGAAAGAACAGAACTTCCAGATTTCCATGTCTGAACCAGCAACGTTTGCCAAAACTGACAGGTTCCAGTGAGCAGATGATATTGAAATGATTTGTGCATTGTTTTATTATATTTTATGCTTAATTCCACTGTTTCATAAAGATATCATTTATGCATTCTCCCAGGGAGAAAAATGCCAATCATTTTAATTCAGAGAAACTTTTCTTGGTAGCATTACCATAATTCCACCTGTCTTTTAGTGAAGGTACAGAAGGAAACTAAAATGCCGTGTATTCCCTCAGCATTTTTTCTATGTTCCTGGTTATATTTGTAGTTCTTCATCTCCACTTTCTCAAACTGACATTGACCATGTGTTAGCAGGTAGGATCTGGTGTAATGCACAGCATAACGAAATGTACCTGCAGTCTTGGATGAGCATAGAATTCGTTCAGAAAGTCCATGAGTAAGTCGATCTTCAGCGAGCTGACACACAGAACCACGTGCTTCTCCGTTTGGGCTCTGTGTCGACTGTAATTCCCACCCGACTTTTGCCTCTCCATCCACAGATAGGCCAGCTGTTCAAACTGGAACACATTTTTCACATGTGAAGGGAAAACACAGGTTGTGGAAGTTAAAACCAGCACCACCCATTCCTTGTTTATGAGATGCGCTCAATTCCTTCCGTGTGGAGCTCATCAAGACCCGGATGACCGGTGCCTTCAACAGCCCCTATCTGGTGATGCCATGGAGGTCTCTGTGCCCCCCAGAGGCTGCCTGTGGCTCTAAGGAAACAGATTCATCTGATTTTCCTGTGATATCACGACAGGGCATTATGGTTTGGGCCTCTGCTTCACGTCCAGTAGAGCATGCAACCATGGCATGTCACATGCCGAGTCAAAGAAAAGAGTCTCATTCCTCTGTCAGGGTCTCCCCATATCTCATGCATTCAGATAACCTCACGGCAACAACCCGGAGGGCCACATCCCAGTTGTGGGGTAGCTGGTATGTGAGGGCAGTGGAGGGTGTCGGGGAGGGTGTTGGAAGGAGAGACAGGAGGATTGGTCAGCAGTGGCAAGTTCACTTTTATACATACACGAAGTATGTTGGGAGAGCCTGTGGCCAAGGTTTGCAATGGGCGGTACAAGTTAGATTTGTATTGGCCACATCCTGTTTCTAACCGGCCCACCCATGGACGCCCAAAGCTCCTTTGTAGGAACAATCAAGAGATTGTAGCGACTTATCTTATGTCTCATTTTATATCTCTGTCCCTTTGCGAGTCCCTTATCTGCTCCCCAAATGCTACGTAACAGTTCTATATTCTCTTCAGGCTTTATTTTAGTGACTAATACATGCAATCAACTTTTACTCATTATGATGTTTGGCTTTTAGATGATTACAAGAGTCAAAGGATTCAACCCTTCGCAAGTTTCTTTCCTTGATCTATCATTTATGATTAAAAAACCCTATCACCCTACACTCCTGCCATAGATAAATGCCCGATTTTCAAAAGAAACATCTGTAAAGTTGAAACGAGATGTGAACCATGACTTGAGTGAAGGGGAAAACCCTCAGTGTCTAATAATGATGTAAAAATTCTTTTCTGAGAAAATTTTAATAAATTGACTACATATAATAATAGCATGTACGACATTAGATGAATATACCATCCTACGTTTTTCATTCAACATGGAAGATGTGGTTTTATAAGACTCCCCATTGCTAGAATGGTCACCATGGCGACGTTTACCTGAATGGGCAGGACCACGAGGGCGACACAGATCATAGCCACCACGAAGAGCTTGGAGGGCCATGTCTCGGGAGTGACGTCCCCAAAGCCCACCGTGGAAAAGGTCACGATGCAGAAATACAGGGAGTCGAAGAGGTTCAGCTTCTTGCCTATTCGCTCCAGGTGCTGGATCCCGCAGATGCTGCAGACACAAACGTGCATTACGGCGAAAAGTGGGCACATCGTTTCTCATCGTTATGATCGTTTGCAAGTGGAGGCACGTGTCATAAAAGACATTGAATAGTTGGGATCTTGCATTGTTCATCCTCCCTCAGGAAAACATAATTATTAAGTTCTTTCTACATTAACCAGATATAGTTTTATTTTGAAGTGAAACATATACCTTCAGGATAGGTAGATACATAGGTTACTGCTGCCCTGTTATAGAATCTTGAGGCTAGGATGGTTTTGGCACTGAGGCACCCTTGATCTGCCTTGTGCATAAACATTATTTCTCTCATGTATGAGCTACTTTTCCTAGAACTGTGCATGCTGCAACTCGCCACATGAGGACTTGAAGCTATTTTGTGATTATAATCCATTTTAATATAGATTGCTATCTTACTTCATTCACAGATGTCCTCAGAGTCACCATTAAATGAAAACCGCCTCTTCCCCCAGCCCATAGCTGATGAATTCCAGTTAATTACCATTTTGTGTCTGTACCCAGGAGTGATTTTAATGATGGGCACAGATTTTCTGATAAACTAAATCCAAGAATGTGCTCACATACAGCACATCCATAATCAAAATATCCCATTTTGTCTTATTTTAAAAGAGATGCATCTTTTCCATTAGACTATTTAAATGATATCCTGATTTGCAAGTAGCAGAGGAATTTACTAAGGTAGAATTTAAAATAAATAATTATAGCCCGTGGATATTCGTAAGCATTCTGTTATCTTTAAATTTTATACTAATGAAAGTTAATATTGTTTTGTGACTGAGCAGTCATATTTCTTAAAAGCTGACTTTAAATGCTTGATTTTAGTGGATATCTAATTGTAACAATATTTTTGTTGATTGTCCTCTATCCCCTGTCTAAACATTTTAAATGATGTACTGCAGTTTAAAACAGAAAACAATTAACCAGTATCACACCATGTCCTCTATTTAATTTTTTGTTTAGTTAATAGGCTAAAATTGCTCAGATTCAGTTTTAGTGATTGACTCTGAAATGAAAAGTAGCAGGTAAATATAACTATCTTATAATTCCTCCACTGTAAAAATACCTGTAAATTTCAAATGAGAAAAAAAGTTCACTGTAAAATCAAAAGGTACTAAACAAATTTCCTTAAATATTTTTCACAATGAAAAATGAGTAACCTACTATCATGCAGGGGTGTCCAGCCATTTGGCATCTCTGGGCCACACTGAAAGAAGAGTTGCCTTGGGCCACATATTAAATATGACACATAGTCACAAAAACATCTCATAATGTTCGAAGTAAATTCACGATTTTGTGTTGGGCCACATTCATAGCCATCCTGGGCCGCATGCAGCCCATGGAGCTGCTGGTTGGACACCCCCGAGTCATCTTTATCCATGCAAATCCATTTCCTATGGTTTATTAGTGCCGAGCATGGTGCTGTCTGTCGGCCATGCGTGAGTGTGACACTCTCCTACACCTACGGTGAACGATTTTGACCTCGCCTTTATAATACTTCCAGTAACAACATCACAAATTAACAATCAAGCACTTAACATATACCCTGAGTAATGCTAACTAAGATAATTTCTTAAGCTTTTTAAACTTTCTGCCCCTCGACAGAAATTTAAATGCACTATTAACTTCATTTGGTTATGATGCGAAACACCAGACACATAATAACACTCCACGAATCCAGCAGCAATTTTGTTATTTATATTCCAGCCCTGCAGGAAAGAAAGCGAAGCACAAAAGTGATTCAGACATAAGGATCCATCCCATATTTGCACAAAAAGGTGACGAAGCCTTGGTTTTCAACCCGACGACGGACTCGGGGACTAGGAGGAAGCGGTGTGTCCAGTCCTCTTCCCTGTGGATTTAGTCATAGTTGTTAGCAGCAAGAGAATGAGTATTCATGGGTCCATGAGTATTCATGGACACACGCGACCCTGTCTGAGCTTCTGCCCGGCCCGCCAGTCTCGGCTGCCATGGAGACGTGGACAGGCGTGGAGGGGGCAGAGAGGAGTATTAGGCAATTTGCAATGTGCACCCGTAATCTTGAACTTTCCACAAAGACCAGTCCTGATGACATGAGCTGACCTTTGGGGAAAGTTCACTGTCCTCGTTTCCCGAAACTGACAACCAATTCTTGGTAAGGCAGTTGGGGAAAATGTCAATATAGGGCCAGTGACTTGTTATAAAAAGAGCTACTTGTCACTGAGATTGCTTGAATGAAAGAATTTCCCTTGTAATTACATAAAAAACTGCATATACATATATCATACATACATGTATTTATAATTATGTAATTCACTGACGTAGGTAACTACTAAGTATACCATTATATAGTAATATTCTAAGATTTAAATGTTAAAATAGTAATATTTGGGAATGAAACACCAATAGAATTTATCTTTTTATATTATTTTACATATATACTTATACTTCATTTTATCATTTAAACAGGTATTTGATGTAACACGGGTTTTTTTATTCTATGACAGTTACAATGAAATATATCTGTTTTTTTAGACATTCTGTTCATTTTGGGGACACAGAATTCCTCCCATGTACATACTTATGTTTGTTGGTGTAATTGTGGCTTATTTCACAATCCTGAGCTTAAAGTGGACTTTCAAAACTATTTCACTTACCCATTTCTGCCTTAATGTAATTCACTTTTACCTGAATGCCCATGGTGACAATGTTTATCTTAAAGATTACGGTCACAGAATACGAATCCTTCAGGAATCTGATAGCCTGGCACTTCGGCGGGTCTTCCTCCCTCAGTGTGGGCGTGCAGTTAAACCGTGCAGACCAGCGGACAAGGCGCCCAGTAGTCAGATGTGCCCTTGAACGCACACTCAGAACTTGATACTCAGCAGTGTACACTAGAAACATAGAGACGTGTTCTTGGGAATTTCAAATCTCCTCATATAATCAATGAGGGTAAGAGACTGACTATGTAAGTAGAACCATTTGAAACAGGTACGGCTCAGGAGAGGGGTAACGTTTTATTTGGTTTTCAGTTACTATTTGTTGGTCTCCCATATGACCTCTGGATACCAGGGCATGAAGCCAACAAATAATAATGACGTAAGTCAGGAATATTAGGAAAATTTTGATGGTAGGGAGGGGTAAGAACTATTTCATTTTTGGATATGCTGAATCGACCATTCCTGTGAGCGATGTACAATCAATCCAATGTGATGAAGTATTTTATTAATATACATACACCCATAATAAGGCATTCTTACGCTTCGAGAGTAAACCCTACTTGGTGGCAATTTTGTTACAGTTCCAATATTTTTAATCCCCAAAGTAATAACATGCACTTATTACAAGACAAATAATAAATATGTGAATGAGAAGTTAATAAATCAACACACTCCTACCTACCTTTGAGGTAATTACTATTTAGTTACGTTTTTTCCTGCTTGTTTAATATTTGTTTTGTTTTTAATGAAAATGCACTTTTGATTTTTATTGGCAGTTTATCGCTGTGGGATTTTTATATCCATCTCTTTAAAGGGATCTTGGCCCATAGCGCTGCATCTCAATACACATGCCTTGAAAAGCCAATCTGGCAGGAGATGGTAACCAGACGCAAAGTTCCACCATCAAGTACATTTCACAACTCTGAGTTCAGCGTATTTTATTTAGCAAAGACTTTTCAGATATTGTTAACGAGTTTGTGTTTATCACAGCTCTGAGAGTGGAATTTTTATAGGATTAACCAAACGTAGCTGCCAACATTCTTAGTCTGGAAAAAGTATCTCAGAGGATTAGGGTTTTATGAACTGAATGAGAAGGTTAGCTCATATTTTGCCCCTCATCAGAGTGTGTTAGAGTCACAGTTTAGTTTAATTATTAAAGGACATGGCTCACATTTTACCTTTGCCCATGCCCGAGATCACCCTGCCCTGGATTAACTGTCCCCTGAAGAAATTGAATAGTGGAACTGTCAGGCCCTGAGGTTTTATTTATTTTTTTAAGGGAGACGAATACATAAAATTTTAAAGTGCCATCTCTACCCTTCATCTCAATTTAATACTGCTTAAAAACCCCGTACCTACGCATTTTGGAATGACCTACTCTTCTGCCCACAGATTCACAAGAATCATTATGCTTTGCTCCTCATACTTCGGTGTTTACTGACTTCCTGCAAGTCTGACTCCCTGCAAATCCGAACTTCGAACACATTGAACAAAGTGCCGTTTGTAAAGGCAGCCCCACGGCAGCCCCACAGCAGCCCCACCGAGCACTGGAGCAGCACCAAAGCCGCAGCCTCTCCCTGCTCCCGAGGGGCTGGAGGAGGAGAACAGCGTCTCCATAGGCCCCGTGATTATTTGAAATGGGGACCACCACCCTGAGCGTGCCATATGGAACGGAAGACTCCAAATGATATCTCACTTTAAAAAGTTTCATTCTACTTTTTTCTTGTTAACTGGAATACCGTCAAATGTCGCAAAAGATAATTTTAGTTAAAGAAGCTATGCTAACACATGCAGAAATCATAACAACATTTATTTTTAAAGAATGATGGCCCCTTTTGCACTAAATCCATACAGCCATAATAGATATAAATATATCACACCAAGCATATAACTTCAAATTATCCTTAGAAATAAAAGGCCACATATAAAGTGAAGTGTATTTCCTTTGTCTCATTTTAACAAAACATCCTTCCACTTAGAAGAGCTACCATCTTAACTGACAGATTTTAAAATGCACTTTTTCATTCTTTCCCTCACCTAGTGAATAAAGCTCCGCCACAGTCTGAGAGAGAAACTACCTAAGACTAAGCATCATCGACAAAGTGCTATTAAGAGTTCTTTCCCCTCTGCAGTGCTCCAATGAAAGCGCCTCCACACTGTCCCTTGCCAGTCCTACAGGACATGTTTCTTCTAGCAAAATGACATTAAGTTAATTGATTACATTTCATCTCCTTTCACCATTAATTGATTGAGACAAAATAAAAACATCTGCTCAAC